ATAACTTTAAAATGATTTTGATATATGACAACAAATTCAAGCAGCATATTTTTTTAAACATTTTTAAGCGCAATATACAAAAATAATTTTTCTCAATCATGTAAAACTATTTCATTTTTAGTAAGAAGCTGCAGACAGGAAGAAAACAGTATCAAAGCAGATATCATGGGCCAACACGTATAAAGCAAGATTCTAATAAAATTTAATTAAGTAGAGGTATTCTCAGAAATATTGAGCGGATGATAAATTGTTTTCGAGATTCACAATAGAGTCTTTAAAACTGTAAATATAATTCTACATATAATTTTAGAAAAAAAATTTATTTTAATTATCAATTATTAAAGAATTTTCTGCAAGCATTAGAAAAAAGTTTATTATTTCAAAATATTTGTATATCAAAAGGTATACTTTTGGTTTAGGTTTATAAAAAATGGGTCTATATACCGCTAATCGGTGCTTTGCGTCATACCTAAACACTGCTGTTCAATCTTTGACTCATTATATTATACCTATATTATAAAAATAAGCTGAAAATGCTCTCAATAAACAAGTTTCTTTTACATATATTTATTAAAATGCATATAATATCTATGGTAAAAGTTTGTACCTTTAAAATATAATTAAATGCAATATGAAACCTCTTCTTAACCAATTCCACTTTTGTCAATGTCAAATGAGATAATATCAATAAGACTTGTTGAGTTGTCTCATTTAACACAATTTTGCCACATGCAATTTATTCCACTGCGGTTTACCCAGCAGATACCTATATACAATAACTACGTATATATATATTCACACCAACACTAATCCACAGCTACAAAGAAAGGCTCAAACAAACTGAAAATTCGAGTAAACGCCGCTTTGTCTGGCAGCTCGAGTACAAGAAGCTGGTTGCAGAGATCAGAGACCACAAAAATGTAAACGTCATTTAAGCACCGTGGTTAACATACAATACTACCATGAGCACACCGCACACCGCACCAATTACATACCAATATCTTTGTACATACATATATAAGCCACAACTCGTCAACCCACACAACCTGCTGGCTTGGAGCAAAAGCGCAGAGTAATAATGAAAGTCGACTGATTGCCACAACTGTCACTGACGATCAGCGTGTATATAGTGTATAGTTCGTTGGCAAATACGAAAGAACAACAAAAATGCTGGACGCAAGACAAACAACTAGAATAGAGATCGTGAAATCGATTAAGATTTCACATTTCATTTGCAATTTGTGAGATGCAGAAAAGAAAATGGCAATAAAATATATGTGGCACCAACACTTGGATGTCTCTATCACAAGTATCAGTCGAAGGGCATATAAGGTGGAGTGACAGTTGAAGGTGGAACGGGAGATGTCAAACGCAGAGGAGAACGAAACGTTTTGCGGTTTAACTGTCAGGGTTTGACATAAATGGCCGCACAGAAAATTGGTGAAAATCACGCAAGAAGTATTTTGCATTCACAAATAATATGTAATGTCTGGTTATTAGGGTGTGGTGGTATGCTAGTCTGAAAATTAAAAAAAAAACAGCGATAATTTTGGTTTCATATTTCGATAGTTCAAATATTCAAGAATATTTCTTCAAAACAAAAATGCTTATTATATATATTACAGTCATTTTACTGACAATGCGATTGGGCCGATTTAGTTTTAACTTGAAACTTGTAACTTTTTTCGAAGCGTTTGTCGAAAAACCACAAGTTCTAATGTACCGATATACTCGAAATTTGTCAAGAATTTTCTTTTATGACGAAAACGAAAAAAAAATTAAAATTTAATAAAAAAAAATTACTGAAATAAATTATATCTTCTAAATGAGCGCCGTTTTGCGAGACATTTTCATTTTTCAGTTTAAAATTTTTCCGCCATAAAGATATTTCTAAGACAATATATGAATGATTCTTTTTCGATTTCCAATGACCAGAAGACTAAAAAACTTGACAAGATGGATATTTTGTGAATTTTTTTTTTTGAAAATTTGTTTGTAAACTCTTAAAATATTAATAAATAACTGATAGAAAGAAGTAAAGTAAAAATATTAAATGTTTTTTTATACATATTTATATTGTAAAAAACCCGATATGCAGTGCTCTAGACTACAATACACATTTAAAGACTCTGAAGTAGAACGAAGCGCAGAAAATAAAATGGAGTTCACGATGATGTATAGAAAATATTTTTGTTGATTTACAATATATATACTACTGCTACTCTAGTTGTTGCTGAAGAAGAAAATTTTTTTTGTTTATATATCGCTTACTAAAACTTTTATTGAATCATATAGAAACATTTAGATAAAACCACAAAAAAATATATTGCCTAACTCTTTAAAACTCATTTTTTTTGGAACGCAAGCGCACCACCTTAATGTTCTACGCCAAAATCGCCTACAGCTATGGCGTAGGTGGACAGCAAATTGTTTGTAATGCAATGTAAAGTTGACAGCAATTTGACAGTTACCATTCGTTGTCAAACTCAATTTGGGTCAGTCGCGTGTAAGCGGCAGGCAGCCCTTTGATGGGCAACAAAACATGGAGAAGCTGATATAAAAGCATAACTGGCTGATGAAAGACATAAATTAAATTATAGGCTTAAAAAAATTAAAAAAAAAAGAAAAAACATTGTTTTATATGGAAAATTAAAAAACAAATTGCTAACCAACTGCCACTTGAGGTTTCTGAAAGGTAAATTGGGAAAAGGATATGTTTGCGGTTGGGATAGTTTTCCAAAGGTATCCAGTATTTTTATTTGTTTTTACCAAGCAAAGTTTTATAAAATTATAAATTTATGTATGTAGGTATTTGAAAAAATGACTTGCGCCTGAAGTGTTTTAGAGTGATTGTAAAAATAGATGTGTATATAAACAATATATTTATATGTATGGTGAAATGTTAGTGAGATAAGTTTTAATAAATTCTTACAACTGCTTACAACATCAAAAATTTTGTCAGCTTTTTTATTAAAAAAAATATTTTGAACTATTTTAATAGCAGACATATGACTAAATTATTATAGAAAAAATTAAATATTTTTAAAAGTAAATGCAAGACGTTCTTGACAGCACAAAAACGTCGCAATGAATAAATGGTTTGTTTAGTGACTCAGAACTGAAAATGAAGCGCTCCAAACTTTGCTGTGAATTTGAGTATTTTGTTTGCATTAGTTTGAAAGGTAGCAATTAAATTAGTAATAATTAAGGTGAAATGTTAGGTAGTGGAAATATTATTGTCTACCTAAATTTTTTTACATAGTTTTTTTTTTAATTTTTTAATTTTTAAAATTTTTTTTTAATTTTTTAAAGTTGTTTTAAATTTTAAAATCATATTTATGGCAATAGTTAATACTTGTTTTTTGTAATTTTTTACATTTTTTAAATATTTTTTTAAATTTTTAAAAATTATTTCTGAATTTGATTGGGATTTATTTTGTACTAATTAATATTCACCCTAATCAAAATTATTAGCCTATCTGAGTTTTTCAATTTTATATTTTTGCCAAATATTATTTAAAAAATTTCACGAAAATTATAGTTCAATGTTTAAATTTTTTTGATCGGATTTTTAATTATACCTTTCCTTGAGTTTTTACTACTTCAGTAATTCGATAGAAATATTAATTACCACATAAGCCCTCCTACTCCATCTAGCATCCAAACCAATGCTCGAGAAATTAAAAAAAAAGAATTTCATAAAAATTCTATGATTACACGCTAATATCTATACCAACAAATTATACAAAAATCATCAAAAATAACGAAACCCTCTATTCAAGCTAATCTGCTTCGGATGTTTGTGCAGTTGCTCTAAAAAGTATGCTTCTAATCAAATTTTAGTTTGACTAAATTCATTACCAAGCTTAAACCCACAAAATCGTCTTAAAAATTTATATACACACATATACATAATTCAGAATTTCCTTAAAAAAATGTCTTTTGAATCTTCCTATATGAGCACATATTCTAACAAACATTTCCGCTCTATTTGCTCTGCTCAATGCCATCACACTTTCCCGCCAGCTGGCAGGAGAAAAATTAAAAAAAATTGATATTTTCAAATTTCTGTCATCTTTCGTATTAACAATTGCATTTTCTGAAAACACATGATTGTGTATTTTTACAAAAAAAATTCCATATCCGCAGTTTTTAATAATCGCGTTTAACAGTTATTTAGTACATGTTGCTATGACAGTTATGCGCCTTTGCCCCATATTTCTCACCCTTCTTCAAAGTTTCCTTTTTAAAAGTGTTTCATAAACCATTTTGTTGTTGTTGCTGTTTTCGTTAGCTATGTTATTTTTTCTTCTTTCATATTCTACAGTTATTTTCTAATTAGTTGCTCAATGTAATTTAATATTTTTTCCTCGCTCTAAAAACGCTCAAGTGCAGTCACATGTTTTTCATTCCTTCTACATTACACTTTGTTGTTGTTGTTGCACTTATTGCAATTATTTTTTTGCGCATTGACTAATAATTGGATATTGGAATTCGCATTTTTTAGCATTTTATTTTCATTATTCATTATTTTTACGTTTGTAAGGAAGGGATATGTTTATGTGCTATTTTTTTTTTACCTCTCAGGTGGCTTGATCGATAAGCATCTGCAATTAAAAAAGAGAAAAGAGAAAAAAGTAATGTATTGACCGAGTTTTCATAAGAAAAAATGTACTTGAGTTTATTACATATTATTACAGCTACAAATACAATTTGCTATAAGTAGTCATGGGGTTTTACATATATGTATGTATGTATGGATGTATGCATGTGTGAATGTAAGTATGTTATATATACATATGCATTTAAGTTCAAATGTATGGCATGTTGGTATGAGCATTGGCGTTGTTGTCTGAAGAAGTGTTGAAATTATTACATAACTGTGTAAAAATTTTCGTATATATATACCTATATATTATATATGTGTGTAACAATATAATTTTTTTTTGAGAATTTTAGGCCTTAATTTCATACTCTTGCTAAATTATTTCTTAACAAGTCAAATAATAATTAATTGGAAAATTTGTTGCAACTATTTTGCAAATTCTAGACTAACTCACATATATACTTCCAAACATCCAGAAATTACAGTAAATCAAGAAAAAAATTGTCTAGAAAGCTTCTTTATGTTCTTTTATTGGAAATTTTACGATAATACACAATATAAAAATTGCCACAGTATAACAGATCCATTCCAATAAATACCCACAAGATCTTAGCTTAGTACAATATATAAATTTATATCCACAAATTTTTCTAAACAAATTTCATAATATTTAATAACAAAAACATGCAGTTTTCAAAAAAAATGAAATACGAGTGGTTTTCTTCAAAAATCATTAAATTGCTATAATGGCCAGCATGTATTCCTTATTGTAACCTTATCGAGCACCATTGGGGTATACTTGTTCGTAAAGTCTACTCAAACGATATACAAAGCAACTGAATTCTAAAACTCAAAAATGCGCTTTGTCAATCTTGGTATGAGATTGGATCAGAAATCTTACAAATGCTGACTGATTCTATGTCAAAAAGAATTTTTAGAGACATTAAAAATAAAGGAGGCCAAACGAAATACAAAAACTAAAAAACTTCATTTAGGTATATACTGCTACTTTTTTGTAAAAGCGCACAAACGAATGGCCATCCAGAAATAAATTTTTCGAAGAAAGAAAAAAATAGAGAAATATTTTATTAATTTTGTACACACAAGTTAAAAATTAATATATACAAGATCTCACCTTTTTAAAAATCAAAAAAATATTTTTTTTTTCTTTTACCAAGTTAGTAAGAAAAGGTGTGCTTATAGAAAAGTGCATACCATTTTAAAATATCTTCTCAAAAGGATTTTGCGAAATTGGATTTTTTTTAATTTTCAGCTATTTTAGTTTCGTGACAATGCGGCCGGGCTAATCTTAACTTAAAACTTAACACAGCTATTTTCGAAGCCTTTATAAAAAAGCTTTAGTTCCAACCAACCTGTTTACTGCATACATTTTTGACATAAAATTACTTTGGAGATCCTTTTATGACAGAAACCAACAAAAACTCAAATTATCTTATTTTAACTATTTTCAAAAAAATCGTAAAAGTTACAAAATTTACTGAAAAATTTATATTTTGCGATATTTCGAAAATTTTATGTTTCAGTTTCTAAACATTACGCTATACTGAAAAATTTGCTGAAAGATGATATAACGGATTTAAACCCCAAAACCGGCTATATTAAGTTTGCCACGAAGTTTGTAACGCCCAGAAGGAAACTTTAGAGAGCCTATAAAGTATGTATAATACTCGTATATATAAATGAACAGCATGATGAGCTGAGTCGGTTTAGCCATGTTTTTGTATCTGAATATACGCGAACTAGTCCTTCAGTTTATGAGATATCGATCTGAAGTTTTGCACACGCCTTTTTCTCCCTAAAAAGTTGCTCATTTGTTGGAATCGCCAATATCGAACCACTATAGCATATAGCTGCCTTACAAACAGAACAAATGAAATCAAATGCTTGTATGGAAAACGTTTTAATTTTACAAGATATCTACAAAAAAATTGGCATGGATGATTGTCGAAGATAGTGGTGCAATCTTCGAAAAAATTATTCAGATCGGATCACTATAGCATATAGCTGCCATACAAATTGGCTGATCAAAATCAAATTCTTGAAAGGAATGTTTTGTACTTTTTTTAGCGTTATTATAGCTTCGACCGAAATTAATTTTTTTTCTTGTTTTTTTTATATTTTTAGAAGAATTAGGCAATAAATGAAGAACTGTTAAAAAAATTTTAGCAAAAAAAATATTATTTTTTCGAGCGTCAAAAATACCCAAAACTTACTAAAGAGGTACCTAGATTTTTCTGGCAGTATCTTGCAGTCAATAAAAAACCATAAGAAAAACTGGTAGTAAATTTACTATTTATTTTTTTTTTATCGAGCATCAAAAAATTATTATTAATTCATCAGATCCATGTATGGATCCTATAGAGTCAATCTTCAATGACTATTCAATGATCTTTATTTTACCTAATAAAAGTTATTTCGGACTGTCCAATATGATTCCGAAACCAAAATATTTTTTAAAGGACCTGCACTATCATTTTGATATCTGCCTAAACATTCTTAAACCTGCTTACAAGTTGTATATTGTTAGCATATTATTAAACACATGCATACTACAATTGCGCTGTCAGATAAATGCACATAAACTGCAAGAAAATTACAAATACTAGAGTGAAGCTCGATCAGTCATAACAGAAGTGGTAAACTGTTGACAGGGAGACTTAAATATTGGCTAAAAAGGGCTCGCCGCCGACAACAAAGGACTGCAAAATATACCTGATGCATTTTTTGCTTACAAACATTTGTAATAAGTACATGCAAATGTACATATGTAAGTACATGTGTTCGCATTACTTCGGCCGAACATTAAAAACACAATATTTACATGTGAGCCGGCGTGCTTTCATACATATGTGTTGTTGTTTTCATGCCTTGCCATTGCGCCCCACTGCGAGCAGCACGTTTGCGGCGTGTACTAAACGAACCGTAGGCACGACCCAACGACGGCCAAAAGGCTCTTTCGAATGGCCAAACGAAAGGGTAATTATAACCTACAACTTTGCCGGTCATACATGCGTATATATGTGCAACTGAATGAACATATATGTAAATGTGTATGTGTGTTCTGCGCATTTTTGAAATTTCCTTGAAAATTTTTGCAATACACTTTTTGCGCGTACTATTTTTCTACCCTGCTCCAAATATGGTATAATATATATTTGTTTGCAGTAGCCCTTGCAGCTTAGCTCTGTTGGTTTGCATACATAAATGCATACATGTATGTATGTATATGTGGCTCATGTCAAGTTCCTTTGTTATCCTTTATTGGGGATGCACTGAATTATTAACACACTTATGTATGCTTGTAGCTCCTCACCCTTCGTTTCCACACGGTTTTGTTTCTTTTTTCGAAAAACATTTTTGTTGTTTCGTTTATGTTCTTACTAAAAGCCAATTTAGTTGCCTTAGTTGTTGTAATGAAATTAACCAATGTGTTTTAAGTTAAAGGGGTCTCTATCCGTCTCTCTGTCTATTTGTGAACAGTGAGTTCGGCAGTTAATGTTGCGGCTCACCATAGTTAAGTGGCTGCTATCAAAAATTGTTGGAAAAATGTAGTGCCGGATGAGAATAGATTCGGAGTGAGAAGGTGATATAATAATGCAGTAAGAATTATTGTACAGATCAGGTTGAACATTTGTAGAATATTTTCAAGATGAATTGAATTCGAAAATAAATTTTTAAGTCAGCCGACCAATAAAGGTTTCACTTAGATCAAGCTAGGATTTTCAGAAAACATTAGTAAATTTGTAGAATAGTGAAAGAAATAAAATGTCCCTACCTAATCCACCGTAGCGTCGAAGCGTTTGTGTCAACCCTAGTTTTTGGGATATTGATCTGAAATTTTGCGCGCGTCCTTTTCTCCCTAAGAAGCTGCTCATATTTCAGAACCGCTGATATGGAACCACTATAGCATATAGCTGCCTTACAAATTGATCAACTAATATGAAGTCATTGTATGGAAAACTTTTTTATTTCACAAGATCCGCTTATTATTATTTCCGAAGATCCGTTACAATATCCGATTATATTGCTTAGTCGGGCCACTATAGTGTACAGCTGTCATACAAACTAATCGATTAAAATAAAAACTTTTTTATTTTACAGAATAAAAATCTGTTGAAAAAAGTGATTCCGAAGATGGACTAACAGCCGCCATTTTGTATCAAAATTTCAATATATATATTTTTTGTACACGCAAATATATGAAATGGATAAATTCACGTAGAATTACTTTGAAAAGTTAAGCCTTGTTTAGAGGGCTAGAATGGCCCTTTAACAAAATCAAATCGATCGGTGCCAGATAACTTTAAACGAAGGCTTCTTCTTATGAAATTAAAATCTAAAAATACTTTACTTGTTTGTGGTAATTTTTTTATATGGTAAAGTATAATAAATCGGTTATGTTTAAAGAAGTTTGTTTTTCGAACTTTTTTTTTTAGATCATAACCGAAGAGCTGCGCAATTTAATTTTATTTTAAATTTTCCAAATTTACTTAACTTGATATAAATTTTATGCAGAAGTTATCGAAGAGGCAGATTCACTTTTATTTGTTATCAGCAACAAACCACCATTACATAAATTCAAAATCTTTCGATACTGGCTTATATAATATTTATGTAGTTAAAACACAAAAATCAAAAATCTATATTGAAATGCATTCAAAAGCAAAAAATTGGTTGAACGATTTCGTATGTCAGCAGTGCTGCTTGAGTGCTACAAAAAAAAAATTTGGCTTTGCATCGAGTTATGACAGGTGATGAAAAATGAATGCATTATGACAACCCTAAATTGAAGAAATCATGTGTCAAACTTGATCAACCAGCCAAATCAATGGCAAAATTATATTATAATAGCGTTGACGCCAAGTCAATGCTCTATGTATTCGGTGGGATCGGAATGGCGTGCTGTATTATGAGCTACTAAAACGAGATAAAGTTTTCAATGAAGAACGCTACCGACAACTACTCATCAAATTGAAGCGAGTGATTGTCGAGGCAATAACTTTCATAACATAACAGCGCTCAGCTTCATGTTGCAAGACCGGTTAAAAACTATTTGGAAAAAAGCGGCTGAGAAAAGCTGCCTCACTCGCTTTATATAGGCACAGATTCTGCCTGCCAATTGTTCCGGTCGCAGCATTTCCTCACTGGAATACGGTTCACATCAGAACAAGGTATCAAAAGTTGTTGAATTCATTCTTGAATGCCAAGCCGACGCAGTTCCTTTTGGAATGGAATCCGCGAATTGCCAGAAACATGAGAAAATGTTATAGCATCAAATCGACAATTCATGTTTTACATGTCTTTCTTAAATAAACGTTCAAAGTTTGAAATAATAAACACAACAATATAAATATAATTATTAATATATAAAAGCTTTGCACTTATCTAAACTGAAACGCATTTGTCTTAAAAATAAAATAAATTGCCTTAAAAACTTACTTAAGGAACTTTACACCGCCTTTTGTTTTGTTAAAGTTGTTGCACAGAAAAAGCGCAAACTACGCACTATTCTACTTATGGAGAATATGCAAATACTCACATATGTATATATGCATATATATATATGTATGTATGTGTATAAATATATTAACGTTTGAACTGCATAAGAAATTTTCTCATTTCCTGTTTCCGCTTTGTTCGAAATGAAAATGCGAATCAATAAAAACAACAACATTTACTCATAGACATTGCAACAAAAACACAAATAGGCGTGGTGCACACACTATTGCGTGCGTTAAGCAAATCAAAGCAAATAGAGTTGAGCAGAACTGCATAGAACTTTAATTATATTTTTATTTACCTCCACTGCTATGCCACACGCGCATAGAGACACACACGCACACACACAATCGCAATCGCGCAATGTATGCGACATGTGCTATTTAAATGGCAAGCGCAAACCAATTGCAAGTCTTGAAATGTCAAAGTATGCAATTGCCTATGAACAGAGCGTCATGCACACATAAATATACACATATATACATACATATGTATGTATGCATATCTACCTACAAACAAATATGGTAAGTTCTTCCATCCAAACACGCCCTAATATAGGCGAGATTTAAGCAAGCCCACTCGTGGTAGAGTGCGGCTCGCTTGCTAAGTAACAATACAGAGTTCTATTTGTATGTATGTATATACATATATGTAGGTATGTTTTCGCCAGGTAATCACAAAAGTTTTTCGATCGCTTGGTTGGACACTCGTTCGCGATGACATCCAACGGAAATACGCAATGCAAACGAATTTTCTATGCATGCCACCATACTTCGAGCCACACACACGCACACGCTCAGCTAGGAAAGTGTGTATGTATGTGTGTATTGCTGTTTAGCGCTTTAGTTTGCGCAATCTGTGCAACCAAATGTTGTATGCAACTATTTTAAAAATAATAACTAGAACTTCATGTTTGCAAATATTCACAAACATACCTATATTATAGCCTTTGCAATAGTTTCGTTCGAGTCTTCAATAAATATAAATTTCTTAGAGATTACTTACTAGCACTATTTTACAACTGTAATTTCAAGTTTGTATGACCATGTAACTGGCATGCGTGCGCTGTCAACTGTTTTTCCGGTTGAAAACTTTCCAATACCTACTTTTCCGTGCCATGAGTACTCTGCTACATATTTAGAGCAGTATTGAGCACCATTTGTTATACCGTTAATATAACCTAAGTTGGCCACGAAGTTTGTAACACCCAGAAGGAAATATCGGAGACCCTATAAGGTAAGAAACTGTATAGAAATAATAAGCGTGATGAGCTAGGTCGATTTAGCCATGATCGTCGGGGTATCTGTATATACGCGAACGAGTCCCTTAGTTTTCGAGATATCGATCTGAAATTTTGCACACTTACTTTTCTTCCCAAAGAGCTGCACATTTGTCAAAACCACCGATATCGGACCACTATAGGGTATAGCTACCATACAAACTGATCGATCGAAATCAAGTGCTTGTATGGAAAACTTTTTTATTTGACAAGATAGCTTCACGAAATTTGACATCAAATTTTGTTTAAGGCAATAGTCGAATCTCCGTAGAAATTGTTCAGATGGGGCGACTATAGCATATAGCTGCGATACAAACTGATCGATCAAAATCAAATTCTTTTATAGAGAATTTTTTTATTTGACAAGATATCTTCCCAAAATTTAAAATGGTTTACAGTACGAGGCAGCGCTACAATCTGCGAGCATACTATTTAGATGGAGCCAATATAGCATACAGCTATCATACAAACTGAACGATCGAAATCAAGATACTAAAGATTTTCGTAAAAGACATTTTATTGTAATGTAACCTTAATTCGATATTGAGATATTAAACAACACAGCTAGCTATAACTAGCAAAATATATTTCGTTTGATTTAAACCGTGGGTCTGTTATGTTTTCCCGTTTAGTTACACTTATACATATAGTTTTTAGAAGAAATGCAGCTGTGAAGGGTTTTATAGCTTCGGTGTAGCCGAAGTTAGCATTTTTTTGCTATTTAGCATAAAATTCCGTTATGATTTGAATGCAGCAAGCCTCTACATTTACAGTATAACATTTTTAGTAATAAGAAAGGAAGTTGTTTTAAAAATTTCTAAATTTCCGATTTCGAAATTGTAAAATATTGTAAGAAGTAATTTTATTACTCAAATAATAAAAGTTATAAGAAATATTTTTCATTTTGAGATATTATTATTATATTTATGGTAATTAATCATTATGAAACATAGGTGCGATTTATGAGATGTGATAAATTAGCAGGAAATCATCTACTATTAGCTGCTTTCCAACAAACCACCTATTAACTCATACATAAACTCTCAAAAATTGGACCATCTGAAAAATACAAAAAGGCAATCGCTCAGAAGCGGCCAGTTTTGGTCAATAGAAGAGGAATTGTGTTCCATAAAGCCAACGCCAGTGAAACACATCGCTAGTGACTCGCCAGAAGCTGGGTAAGTTTGGTTGGATGGTTCTCATTCATTCACCTTATAGTTTGGACCTGGCTCCAAGCGATTACTACCTGTTCTTGTCTATGGCAAATGATTTTACGAGTGAAATATTCGCCTCAAGAGAAGCTCCAGATGTTTCGCCAATAGGGCTTCTATAAGAGTGGCATTATGAAACTAACTTCAAAATGCCAAGAAGCTATCGAACAAAACGGTGCGTATATGACCTAATTTGGATCATTCTAACTATGCTAAATAAAATCTTCAGTTTAATGAAATAATGGATTTCTTTTTACTAGACCTAACATTAATACGAATCTTCTAAATCCCTATGTAAGGTTTGACAATGACTCTGGAAATAAATTTAAACAAATTCATATTTACTTTTTGGATTTCGTATATATGAGTATATATTATAAAATTTTCCTATATTTATAAACATATCATCAAAATTTATTTATTCTATGAGCCTATGGACTAAACTTTTACATTGTGAAAATGGCTTAACTATGTTAATCTACTGGTGTGATGCTAATTATTGAAATTCACGGCTAGTTCCTATGCTTTCTTTTTACCAACTTGCGTTTTAGGGTTAATTGAAGTGAGCCAGGGACCATCCCATCTCCATATCATTAGAGAATAATATGATTCAAATGGAGAAACAATTAAATATAGAGATTTCTTTTTATGAATTTGAAAGAAAGAAAAGGGAAGGTTTACACTGCTCTCTGAGAGCTAAGAAGACTGCTGCCAAAAATATAAGTTTGAGTTGTGATGTATGTATTCTGAACCTAAATTTTCTTTGCACAAGGTTACAGTAAAGCAAAAAGAACATATAGACATACCGCTCCTAATGTATATCTAGTACATATAACTGAAACAGGCGTCGACTTCTCTCTTGAAGAAACAGTGATTTATAGGAACGAAGTAACAGCTTAATGAGCTAACGTATCGTAACCGTACCAAACTCTGACATACCTTTATAAATCTCACATATGTACCTTCCAAAGAGTTTACCTCTTGCAACTAACGTATGCGTCAAAAAATATTAGCAATAATTCCGACAATTGTATTTCAGCTTGTTCTGAGTGTTAATCTCTAATTTAGCATCTCTGCGCAACACTGTAACCTAATTTTAGTTAATCTGAGCCAGACGTGGTTTTAAAATAAAACGAGTGATCATGATGACACCAAAATGATCACGCTCACTTTCACTCTCAAATTTTCGTTTAAAAATGTGACGCTACTCCGGCCTGAGTTAAAATTACGTGAGATCGTTTCGAATCAGCTTCAGTATTTCAATAATGAACACATAAAACTACCACCTACCTGGCAGTCGTACAGTCCCTGTAGAGAATGTCGAAGTCCTTGCAGGCGAGCAGCTTACACCGATTAACACCCGGTTGTATGGCGCCGAGACCGCGTAATATACGCACTTGCTCTACATTGCACACTAACGGTACAATATCTAGACGCTTCAGTTTCGTATAGACCGTATGCAGACCGCCCACCAAGTGTTTGAGGAATAATTCGAAAGCTTGTGGCAAACACAACATCGTATCGCCGCTGATAATGAAAGCGGCCACTTTCTGGCCACGATATTCGACCAGTTTGCATTCGTTAGCGCTGGGATCCGATGTGGAAATCGGTGGCGGACTATTGTAGGAGCGCGGCGGTACATGATGATGTGCGGCCGCCATCAGCTCCAGCGGCGAGGCATGATGCATCATTTGCAGTGAGTTGAGCAAGCCGAGCGAATGTGGTGGCAAACCGTGCGGCATGCGTGGTGGTAAGCCAGCGGGCAGGCCATTCGATGTAGGCACGCCCGTCACATGTGGCGGTGGACTAAGTTGATGGTGTTGTTGTTGCATTTGTTGCATCATCGTATGATTGAGCGATGTCACCGGACTAACGGCGTTGGGATGGCGTGTTGGTGAACTGGCCGGTGAGCAACTTGAACCGCGACCGGTATGCGAGAGGCGGCCGTTAGAGGGACGATCGTCGCCTATGCTACCGCTTAGCGAGCCAGCGCCACTGCCGCCGGGACCGCTGCCGCCGCGACTGCTATTGCCATCACGTGAACCGTTCAGCTGCTGCTGGTGCTGGTGTTGTTGTTGTTGATGTTGCTGTTGTTGTTGTTGCTGCTGCTGTTGCTGATGATGCATTAGCAGCGCTGTCGGATTCATGCTGTGCGCCAACAGTATGCTGTTGTTATTATTATTATTGTGATGATAACTGGGACTCAGCTTGTTGTGACGTGGACTATTGTTATTATTATTGCTGTTGTTATTGTTATTACTATTATGATTATTGTTTGTAAGATTGGTGGCCACTGAAATGGTGTTCATTGTTTTGCTGTTGGAAACCGGTGTCGGTGAACGTTCGCGCTTAACAGCCGCTAATACGGCGCCATGCAGCGCGGAGGAGGTAGACGAGGCAACACTGTGTTCACTTGTGATCGATTGTGCATCAGTGGCGTTAGAATCCATGCTTTGTCACATGCAACACTGTAGCTATGTTTGCTTTTCTTTTTAACCGTTATTTAACAATTTTCCAACTTTTTGGTGTTAATTTAATTTGTTATACTTTTGGGGACGCGCGTTGCAAACCTTTAAACGAGTTTTTTTTTTGTATTTCAATTTATTGTTTTTCGATATCACTTCACAGCACACAAATTAATTTGAGTTATTTTTTTGCGCGTGTGTGTTAAACTTATAAGTTTTGTGTTTTTGAGCGTTATTTATGACACTGTGGAAATGAATTAATTACTAGCTTTTTATTTGTATTATAAATCAGAATTTAAAAAAAATATTTTTTAATACACTAAAACTTTCAAAAAAGTAGATAACATATTATATATAAAATGAATGCAGTTTATATTGTATAAAGAGAGCAAAGAACTTTACAAGTACTTCTTCCTGCTTACGCAAAAAAGCTGAATATTCAATAGAAGAAAGTATTTAGAAATATATCAGAAATCTAATATAATCCAATAACTTAATATTTTTTATCTAGTGCCTTGTAAGTTTGAGTTTAGTCTACATTTATTTTAAAATATAAACTTTCCGAAAAAAATACATATATTGGTACAGATTGCCGAAAGAAACCGTTAAAGGTTCTTTAAAAAGTGTTGCCGAAATTTCAATACGAACAATAAGAACCTTAAGTTCGCCTACACCAAAGCTATAACACCCTTCACAGCTGCAGTTCTTATAGCATAAGTAATATATATTTTAATATTTTTAAGGTTTTTGACGTGAATATGTTATAGTGATCCGATTCGAACAATATGTTTGAAAATTGTAGCGGTATTATAGACAATAATCTATGCCAAATTTCGTGAAGATATTTTGCCAAATAAAAAAGTTTTCCATACAAGGACTTGATTTTGATCGTCCATTTTGGTTTATATGACAGCCATATCTTATTGTGGTCCAATATCGGCAGTTCCAACAAATGAGCAGCTTCTTGGGAAGAAGAGAACATGTACGAAATTTCATATCGATGTCTCAAAAATTAGATGAGCAAACTGACAGACGGACATCAACTCGTCACACTAATCATTTATAAATATATTTTGGCGTTTCTTTCTGTTGAGATTATAAAAATATATTACAGCTTCGAAAAAATATATAAACTATGTCTTAGAATTGTATTTAAATATCGATATTAAAATACATTGAAGACGAACACAGTACAGTTTTAATAAAAAGTTTGTATCATAAATCTTTAAAGCAACAGTTTTTTTATGTAAAATTTTTATCAAAACTGAGAAAATTTTAGTGTGATGCAGAGCTTAAGTTTAAAAGCACTTAACCAATTTCAAAACTATATTTTACGCACTAAAATAACGAGGAATATGTTGCCAAGGCTTTAAATTTATTTTTTTCCAAGATCCGTACTCATAAATGTATATAAGAAAACATCGCATTAAAATTTGCCTTCTGCTCCAAATTGCTTCAAAGTAAATTTCTATTTTTTTATAGTATTAAAAAGTACACTGGTCTATACTTTACAATGCCACTACAACTATGTTAAAAAAAAAAATTTTAATAGAAAATTATTTTTTTAAATATTGCAGTGTAGTTAAGTTCTCGAAGTAGATTTTCAATTTAATAAAAAAAAAATATTTTTTAAAGCAATTTAGATAAATTTGTCTATTCACAAAATTTTTGATTTTTTTCAATAAAATAACTTTTTTTAAGCAGTTTAAATAAGTTTTTTATCAATAAAACCAAAGTACATTTTGATTTTGATGTCTTTATAAACAAAATTATGTTTTTAAAGCAGTTTAGATACGTTTTTTTTCAACGAAATCAAAGTATACTTCTGCATATATTAAATTATACAAAAAATCCTAATTTATTTCTGCAATAATTTATATTAAATTATGCACATATTTTATTCTAATTGAGGTTTCCAAGATTTATTCAATTTCATATCATATTATAAACTAATAGTAATCCCAAAAAAATTATTTAGTTATTTATCACACTAAAATATTTTAAATTTTAGTTCTCTGTTAAAAAGTTATTATAATGGACAAAACAACACAGTAAAAATATTATATATACGTCAAAACACCAGCTATCTGTTTCTGAATTAAAAGCACAAGCACAATCAGTTCATAGATTTTTCATTGCCGTTAATTATATTTAATTAAGTTTACTAAAACCGCATAAATTAAAATTTGTTCTTCTACCGTTTGTTTATTGTAAAATATTATTTTTTTTTTTTTAAGTTATTATATTGTTATATATTCAAATGTATGTTTTGAATTATTTAACATTGTTATTTTATTATTTATTTACATATTATAATATATTACTTATTATAAAAACGAAATTAGGCTGTTTTTTATGAATTAATGAAATGAATGTTTTTAATTATTTGACATTGTACTTTAATTTCTAATACTTTTTTTACCACACACAATTATTACTCACGCATAAAAACAACACAATTTTCTAAAATCACAAAAACACTATAAATCCAAATAATAAATTGACGCGATTCGTTTCAATATTAAACAGCAATAGTTATTAGTTTGTTTGTAATATTAGTTAATCACTAATAACGTATAACCGAAACTACTACCGAATTTACCGTATTTAATATTTAACTACCGCACCGTCGGCGTGTCACTGCGCGTATGAGAGGACAAATGATTGCAGACAGTCACAGAAACACACGGCGAATACGAATGCGATTGCGATGCCGAATACAAATACAATACCCACTCACATATCTACTAGTTAGTAAATAGACGCGTAGTGCGCCGCCCAAATATACAATCAGCAAACAGTCAAAGGCAGTAGCAACAGCAATAGCAGCAACAACAACAGTAATAGCAATGAAATGGCAAATGTGGGGAAAATACGCGAATATACCCACACTCACAAATCACCAACAACAAACGAGCAGGGACAAACAACAATTACATTACATACACAATCGCAATTGCAGAAGGAACCGAAACGAAAAAATGAAATTTGATAGAAGAAAAATACGACAACTGCTGGCGTGGACGACGACGTTGGCGACGAGGACGATGGCAACAACGACAACGATAACGACGACGACGACGACGTCGTTTATTTAACATCGACAGCGTTGAGTATGACTGCGACGCTAGCAGCGGCTGCGACAGCAACAGCGACAGCGAGAAATGACATTCAATCAGTTGCGTCGGAAATGGGAGAAATGATTGTGATTGCAGCGCGGCGGTTGTCGCATCGATTCATTTCGGGTCGATTCGATTCATGTGCGGCAACGAAACGCATTATGTTAAATTGAAGAGGGGAAATGGTTGAGGTTGTAATATTTTTTTTATTTTAAAATTGTTGTTGGTAGTGTAAGGAATCAAAGTGCTGTGTTGAGAGTTTGGGGTGGTTTTCGTTTGGTTGTTGGGATTACAATTGGAATTGGAATACATATGTATGTATTTATTTATATAAATATGTATATGCATATATATTTGGATGGAGGTGTTGGTTTGCAAACCGTGTGTGAAGCAGCCTGTAGGGTATTTTCGTTTTGGAGCTCGCTTATTCGGCAACTGCGTTAGATTGCCATAAGCTTGGTATTGGCTGTGTATTGATGCTATTGTTGTTGCTATTTTTTTTGTTTGTTTTTTTATTGCATTCGACTTTGATTTGTCACTGACTGTTGTATGAGTAAAATTGTTGGTTTGTTGACTTACTAAACATTGATAAGCTTAGTTTGAATTTTATAAAGAAGGTGTGAAGTTAATAAATTATTATTGATTATTACAATTTACTGTCTTCGTATTTATTTTTGATTGTCGATATTCTCAATAGCGATAAAATATTTATAATTGTTATCGATTATTAAAATTTACTTTGTTCTGATTTATTTCTTACTGTTGAAATTCCTAATGAAATTAAAATAGTGATTGTTATTATTATTTTTTGCTTTAAATTTTTTTTTATCAGAAATTGTTTTGCATTAATTTAAAGAATTTCTTAATTTAATGTTATGCTTATACATACGTATATATGTATATGTATGTACCTATGTTTGGCGGAAATATATATTTTAAGATTTGTGACTGCAATCATTAAAACTATTTCAAAACTAATAATTTCTAACTCCAAAGGAGTTCTTAGATTTTTATTGATGCACAACTTTTATATGCTTTAATTTTTAGAAATCTGAAATTCAGCGATTTCGTTATTCTTTTTAAACAATTATTCTAAAATGTAATAATTAAATTATTAATTTAGCTTTTGTGACAGATGATGAATTTCGGAGGTACTCTTACACATATTTATTTATTTATTTTACTAGTTAGTTATATTTTTATTTATAAAACCATATTTTGTTTCTTAAAGTAAGAGTTGATTATGACAATGAAAGACATTAATTATTTGGATTGAATTTACTTCAATTCTGTCATTGGATTATATTTTATATCATTTCTAATGATTATGATGATTATTATTATTAGCTCAGAGTTACAAATTACTGAAAATCTTTTTATTTATTATCTGCCTCAAAAAAGGGTTTCATATTTCTATTCATTATCAAATATACTTATATTCGATTTTAATTAAATTTTAAGTATTCTGAGTTTTTGGGGAATATTTACGTAAAAATAAAAAACAAAACGGTGAGTATACAAACACTTTTGTCATGAAATACCTAATTTAAAATTACAAAATTTTTGTGTATAATAGTATGTATGAAATTTTAATATTGACGAAAAATTATAATATAGCTTAACAGGCGCATACATAGTGTGAATCAAAATATCATCAATAATCATATTTCAATATGACAAACATTTAAAAGTAATACACTGAAGTCCTAAATCGATATCTCGAATAGTGTTTGAGTTACAGCTTTCTAAAGTCTAACCGCTCAGCTCAATCAGCTCTAACAATTTATCTTTAAACGCGCTTTCCTCTAAACATCATTTTTCGAATTTGTTTGAGTGATTACTCGAAGCCAAACGATCAGATTCGTATTATTTTTCTGCAAGTTCTATAAATAATTCTCTATGCAACGACCTACCTGTTTTTAGTCTGATCAAAAATCGAATTTTGTCAGGCCAAAAACGAACAACTATTTTTGGCTAAAATTCAATTGTAAAAAACGGTGCCATTTTGTCAAGCTTTGATTTTTTTCCACCGTAGGTTATTGTACGGAAAATATCTTCTAATAGAGAGATAGTAGAGAATTTTTTACTTGGTATCATCAGCAAGCCGGAATTACTGCAGCAGTGGAGAACCTTTTTTTTTTGCGCCGTCGGCGATCAAAAAATACTCAATTTTTTTCTACAAAATTTTGTTTTGTGTTTTCTTAAAATATGTATAACTATACACTTAAAATTTTAGAAGAATTGATAAAGCAGTTATTTTTATATTTATTATTATTTTTTTTTTAATTCACAAAAGTCGCATTTTCCTGTCCCTGTGCCCCTGTAAGTTGGTTTTAATTTTTCCTTCTTGGTTATCGCGCAAAAAACGCATATAATTTACTGTGTTTTCCCCTCTTACTAACTCTTTGTTAATTTATATTTCATTATTATGTTATATGCTTTGAAAATTCAATATTTTTAATAGCTATTAATTGCTTTTTTGATTTTAATGATTATAATGTTTCTTTATTTTTATTATAATTGATTTTAAAATATTAAAAAATAAATTTTTTTAAATTTATTATTGCTTTTTCGCTAGTTAAAAATTAGTATTCATTACTAGTTTTTAGTCTTTGAAATATTTTATATACATTACTAATAATTTTTATATTTTTTATGTCTGATGAATTACTTATAATGTTTTATATATTTTCCTTTATGCCAATTTGAAATTTGTTTTTGATTTTCTCATATATTTTATATATTTGTGTCACTATATTGTTTTCTAGATAAGTTGCCAGCAGTGTTATCAAATCCGCAAACACACCTATTAATTTGGACATATTTTTTGTTTCAACGTAAATCGAATTAAATAAAATCCGCACTAACACCGACCGATTACCATTTGTCAGTTGCTGTTGCCGACACCGCTCACTTGACAAATGCCGCCTATTGGCGACGGCAAACACAGCACAACAATATCAACGCGCAAACACACACACACAATACTCAATGCATTGCTACAACACCGTGCCTAACAACGATTACTCACAACATGAACCGAATAACCAAATTGCTTACACTAGCAAGTCAAACGAACGAACGAAACACATGCCACGAACGTGCGACAGTGGCAATGGCAACGCAACGCGACGCGACCGAGACGAGTAGAACGAGTTGTTGAGTAGCGCGCACAGCAAAATTTTTATTGCATTACCTTCGCTTACGAATGACAAATTCGTAATGAAACCGATTTGAAATGTGTGCTGGCTGCCGTTGCGCGAGCATGAGCGACGCTGCACAACAACAACAACAACACAAAACAGACATGTACATACAGATTTCCCCAATTGTATCTGCAACTGTATATTTTGTGAAATGGTTGCAGTGTAGCTGTAGCTGTAACTGTGTGTTTGCATTGCTACGTACATACATACAGACAAACATATGGACGCGTGTATTTGTAATTGCGGCTGTTATATATGTATGTATGTATGTGCATACAGCATTCGTATATTCAAGTGGTTAGAGGGGATTGAAGTTGAGCATGCGAGTACGTTTGTGGCATTTGTTTGGTGTAATGAGTGCGCTTGTGGAGGGGAGCAAAAATGGTGGAGTGAAGTGGTGTAGAGGTGAGCGCATGGCAGGCAAAAGAGCGGCTTCATACTCCTGTTGGAGTTGGTGTATAGAGAAATCAACGTGGATTCATTTGGGGAGAGGTGTAAAGTTGTTATGTTGCGTTCCCTGTGGCAAGCGAGCAGGCAGGTAGCGAAAAATGTGTGGCTGCTGCTTGCTGCTTGTTTACTTGTGTTTGCTTTGCACATTTGTTGATGTGTTGTTGTGACACTACGATTGCATTGCGAACGATTCGTATCGCTCTATGCTCGTTACGACAACTGTGAATGTGTATTGGATGTGTATGTATGCATGTGTGTATGAAAACGAATACGAATGTGTGAATTGTGAATACGAATTGTCAGTGTACGAATGGGAATGCGAGACAGCCATGAGAATGAGAATAGAAATATAAATATATTTATATATATATGGTAGTTGGCATGGCAGATGGGCGTACGCGTTTCAATTGCATGTGTAGCCTGTGTGTGTTTGTTTGTATGGTGGCAAAATATAGCCGCACTATGTGCGCGAGTGCGAGATAGCGAATGTAACAACAAATAAACAGTTGTGAATTGCATTTGAAATGGAATCGGAACGAAAACAAAATTACCACAAGTAACGAATTGTATTTATACAATACAACAATGCGATTGAAATGACAATACTTCGGGCCTTACGGGTATATACATAATTATAACGTTTAACTGAGATTGTGTGGATTTGCAACCCCAATTGGGCGCCAAGTCAAATGGCTTGCACATTGCTATAAAAATTTAAAGAAACATGAGATAGCAACTGTAGAAAATAACTGTAAAGATAGATTTTAAGGTTGTTTTCATTTGTATTTGCAGTTGGATTTTGGGTAGGATATTGTGTTATTGTGTGTTTAACAATTTGTTTAATGTATATATGTACATACATTAGGGTGGGTGCGAATTTTTTTTCGGTTTCCACTCTGAAAAATTGGCCAATAGACACCTCTAAGAAAGTCTCTCCAAGTATGAGTTTTTAATTGTAACGCGAAGGTCCTCCGCCTTGGCGGGAAAAAATTTTAAAAAAATCAATAGGTTTGGTTATAACTCCTTTAATACTCAAAGGTTTCGTCTACTTTCACGATTTGAAAAAATCGATTTTTTATTTTTGCACAACTATAAACATTCACTATATATAAATAATGTGGGTTTGAGATATCAGGCCACCAACTCATCGACGCGTTCACTATTCACTCGCTCAATCAGCTTTAAATGTGTTTATCCAAAAGTAGCTTTTTTCAGTTTTGACACATTTCTGACAAAACTATAAAAGATATTCGAAATCCGCCTTTTGCTATTTTTTTTGTTCGTTTACAGTCTATATTAGCTTGAAAAACATGGCCAACAAATGTACTTTTTTTTAAATCGCTGCAATTTTGTCAGATTTTGAAATATTCAAAAGAGTCTATGTCTTAAAATAAATGGGGTTAAACATTCGGTAAAAAATGATAATTAATGGTTTCAAGCTTCTGAAGCTGAAAACTATTGTCAAGGGGTCAACTACGTCGCAACGGGAGTAGTGCATTCAGGGCGCGTCAAGTGTGGAGTTTAAAAAAAAATTATTATCATTTTTGTGTTTTTTTTGTTCTATTCTTAAGTTAAGAATTTATTTATAAAGAAAAATAGCAATCATTTTGTGCAGTTTTTTGCCATCCATCGTCAAGCAAAAAATTTATGTACATATTTAGGTGGGAAATTTGAATACAGAGATGTTATTTCTATTTGCAAGTTAGAAAAAAGCGTTTTTCTTTAAATTTCTTTTTTGAAGAGCAGTTTTAATTAGCAAATAAAAAAAAACGGTACATTTACAGACTGTCTTCTTATTATCGTAGCTTCAGGCCATGACGAAAATTTTTCTACTTAATATTATCTGAAGTCCAAAAACTAAAAAACATGTACTTACATACTTATATATATTATATTTTAACTATAGAAGGAAAGACTAGTGAGTTTTAACAAAATGGTGGCTTCCCATAAAAAGTTGTTTTTTAATTGTTTAATTTTCTATTTTTACTATCAAAAATCGGCATCTTAAGATTTATACTTGACATACCTTATAAAGTTGTGTGAAAATTTCAAGTCGATCGGTAGCGTTACGAGAAAAACGCGTTTGAAATTTTGGGAGCCGATTACACTAAGTTAAAAAATTCTTACAGGTACGCTCATATCTCCGAAACTATTTGCCGGATCAAATTCAAATATTAAGAGAATTTTTTTCAGATTCACAAGTGAATATAACCCCTTAACGAGCACACCTAGTGAAATTTCGAAAAATATGATGCTAAAATTTTAAACCGATATTTTGAGTTACAGCCTTCTAAATTGTGGCCTACAATAGTCAGTAATTATAGCGAAACAAATGATCCGATCACTATAAAATTTTTTTTGAATGTCTGTATATATGTAAATAATCGAATTTTTTTGTCGTTTTATTTTTTCTCATTAATTATTGACTTTATTTTAAAAAAATTTTAATGTTTGACAAAGTTAAAAAATAATTGCAAATTATTTTCTATTTTAATTGAACCTGTTATACTAATTTAATGCGCTGAACTGTATATACGTACGTTTCAAACTATAAAAAGCAGTAATTTTATATAACTAAATGCATGTACACACCTACATACCATACATTCGTATATATGTATATACATATATAAATAAGTTATATACCTATGTAAATACCCAACCCACTTTGGAATAACCGAATCGAATGAGAACCTGCACTGCTGGGGAGAGCAACGATAAGTTAAATAAGCACATTTACATGAAGACAGAAAAAAAACCAGCCAAACATAACAAATCAACGAATGAACCAACGAAAAACGATTGAACGGCAATGATATCTGCAACTGCTACTGGCGAAGCAAGACAACAGAGACAGAATTAGAGGTTGAGGCAGTAGCAAGGTCTGCTTCTTTGCAGATGATGCTGTAATAGAGAAAGCAGCAGCAGCGATGTTGATAAGCACGATGCAGAGACAGAAGCAGTGGCAGAAGCAGCGACGACGACTGCAACTGTGACATAGGATCTGCTACTGCCACTCGTCCGGGTTTTATTACTCCACTGCGGGCTTACAAATGAATTATACATATCATTTAATATTTGCTGCAGAATCTTCGTTTGCTCTTCTGACAGACGTATGCCAAGTGTGGAAGAAAGACAAAAATACGTAAACCCAAGCAGCAGTGGTTTTTTTAAGGGACGCCAGCGGATTGAGAAATGAAAATAAAAATACAAATAAACGCAATGCGCCTGCAGACCATATTACTGTAACACAAACAAAAAAAAAAAACAAAAAAACAACATTAAACGATTTGTGAAACGAAAGGAATATGAAACATATGTGATTAATATACGAAAACGTAGCTATTTGAATTGCAGTTCGTGTACCACTACATTCAAGACGCCAACTTTGCATACGAATTCACCACTACACACACACAATCAGCATTTACTATTTGTTCTCCAATTTGCCGTTTCGAATATGATTGCTATTTGTTTTATTACTTTATTTTTACTCTCAGTCGCTCTTACTCTTTCTATTGGTTTGTATTTCTTTTGCATTATTTTTCCAGACACTCATTTCGCATATCATTTCGTTTCTACAGTGCACACAGCCACACGCACGACGTGTGCCCGAACGCAGGCATCGCATTCGCACCTGGCTATAGTTGGGCACGGCTGTTGTGCTTTCAGTCGCACACGCTGTCTACGCCTGCCCCATGCATAGCATTACCAACTCTACTCTCTCTCTCACAATGCTCAGTTGCCGCTATGCCTTGCGGTGTTTACTTTTTATTTCTGCTGGCATACGGTGAGCAGGTGGGCTGCACCAATAAACATGCGCTTTTATTTACTTCTCTGCTTTCAAATGTTTCTGCGAGTTCACATTACTTTTCTATTTTCGTTTGCGTTGTTTTCATTCTTTTTTTTTCTGTGCCGAGTGGCGCCAGAAATGTCAATTGTATAGGAATTTGCCGAGTTATTGGTATTAAGGGGTGTTTCTGCGCACAGTTTGAATGCAGAGGGATTAACAGGGCGCAGCTTTATATATAAATTTTATTGTATTAAGATAAACGGAAGAAGTTTGTTAAGTAAAGACAATTATTACGATTTTTAAATGAAATATTTTGTATATGTATTTATGATTTCTCACACATTTAGCAATATATAAATACATCTGTATATCATATGTTATATACATATACACATTCATATGTATATACATATATTTATTTGTCGTGTCTATATTGTAGTATAAGACAATTGTTTGTCAAAAAATTAATCCTGCCGAGCTAGAGCTCCTCCCCCTGTCAGTGAAACTGAATTCGTATACATTGTACAAGAGTAAATGAACATGCAGTATTGTTCATTGAAATATAATCGCATGGTTAAATTTTTTTTAAGTTTAAGTAATTTATTCACTGTCTTTAAGTTTTTATTATTGAGTTATTTTAGAATTATACCACATTCATTACACATCAAAGGTTTAATAATATACTAATTTACTTTTACTTAAACTTTTTAACAATTATACAATATTAGCAAAACCAAAGCTCTAGTTCGTATTTTTTAAGAGGGTCATCTACCTT